GACCCAATCATTTGAATCGTTTTGAAACAACTCAAATCTACTTTCATCACTAAATATTATTTTATCCCATTCATTACGACTCCAATTTTTTCTTGCATGGCACCAGTATAACCTTTTTTTCCTATTTACATCAGAAACAAGAGGTTTTTTGACAGCTTTTCTTCCATAAACATTTTTAGAATGTAATGTTCGTCTGATAGTTTTCTCACTTGTTACAATGTTTAATTCTTCAAGACTCTTGACTAATTTAAGAGCAGTTGTTTTAGTATCCTTTTTTACTGCTTTCATAAGTTGTCTTTCATCACGCTCTGATAACTTTTTAGGTCTGCCAGGTCTAAGAACTGCAGTTGTTTTATTTTTTGAAAAATAATCATTGGCAACCTTTTCAACTGCACTTTTGGATCTATTTAATATACGAGCTATTTCTCTATAAGAAAAATTGGCTTTTTTTAAACCAACGATTTCTCCACGTTCAAATTCGGATAATTGAGTAGCTTTGGGCATTTTAAGTTTTCTTTAAAAAAAATGAAATGGTTAAAGTTTACTTTAAATGAATTATCTAATTTGGGATTTTTTTAAAAGATCTTCAAAATTAACTCGTTTGAGAATTTTGTATGACATCTTGGCAATTAATTTACCAAATGATCTAGAACTTTGGATATAACTAGATTCAAACATAAGACGCATTTTTCACTTATACCGCAAAGGTCGTTAGAACTTGACATTGTGGTCAATTTTCGAGTTAAAGATTTTTTTGAAAATTCCGAAAAATTCATTTTTATTTTTTAAGGTTCGTAAAACAACAAGTTGTTGTTTATATGCAGCGAAACTTCAGTATGTTATACTATTTGATATGAAGATGAATTTTTACTTAATAAGCAAATGCGGTTAGGTTAATAAAATTTTTATTTTTTTTCATGTTTCTTTATTCAATTATTTCCGATGATCTGCAAGTGTCCTTATATTTATGACCAGGAAGTGTATATTATGCAAAAAACCTCAGAGGACCCGTGACTGGTTTTTGCTGTAACCCCCCCATATGTCCAGGAAGAAAAATCAAATGAAATGTTTATTGGTTTTAATTTATTATTATTGGGATATTGAATTAGTTGATAAAAATGAACTCCTTAAATGTAAATTTTGGACATTAGAAAGGTTTAGGATTACATATGTGTTTATTATAATTAATTCATGTAAAGTGTAAAAGAAAAATCAATTTAAAGATTTATTAAGTTGCAGGCCAATTTGTTCCCGTGACATTCAAAAGCTGATCATTTACATACGTAAAATCACAAGACACGAATCTATAATATTCTCCTGTGACCATTAAATATCCCGTTTCAAAAATTATCATTTATAATATAATAACATTTATAAGTGAAGGAAAATACTTGTCAAGTATGTCGAATTAATAAATCAAGAAAATGGAAAAGGTTGTCAGAAGATGCATTAAAAAATAGAAGTTGGTGGTAGTTGTTATATGACTTATATTTCTAATCCAAACCATCCTAATCGTAATAATATTTAAAAATACAAGTTTTTTTATTCTTTACCATCAAAACCTTTACCCAATATAAATAATTTTACTATCTAACAATTTTATCGCCACCATCACATCTACTATCACCACTCCTACTACCAATTAAAATCAGTTAATAATTTAACTCGAATTCTCAAATTAGGAAATAATAATAACATTGAACTTTTAAATAAATTCATCACCACTAAACATTAGTTTTATTTTAGAAAACAGCGTGCAGTTTTACGTTGTTTATGATGAAGCACTTATTTACCAAATATATATGTCCTATTTATTAATTATACAAATAATGGTAAAATTAATGTGTAGATTTATATGATGACGGCCTTTTCTACATATGTAAACTCGATAAGTCGGTCATGTGGGGGTGAGCTCATATGACCGACTTATCGAGTAAACCGAATTATTGAATTAAATTACTTAAATATTAAGAAAATGGGGTGAAAATTTTGGCCAACTTATCGAGTTTACTGGAGACAATCCTTCCAAGTTTGGTAATTGTCAATACGATATTCATATAGTTGGCTCGGTCTAAAGACCTCCTAAATTTTGGACAAATTTTAAAAGTATAGAAATCACTTTCTGTCCTACCTTTTAAAAAAATAGCTCTATTAGTTGATAGAATATGCCTTTAGTTTTAATGTAATAGAGATTTTCTCAAAAAAATTATTTGTTGTAGGGTTTAATTCTTTTTTTCCACTACGATCATTTCTAAATTTAGTGACAATATTTACCAAGTTTAGACTAGAGTTCAACTATCGTATATATCTAAATTTGGCAGTAAGAAAACTAAAATCACGTGAAGTCCTATTTTTTGAAAAATTTTATTACATTTTTGAACAAATTGAATATATATATATTTTGAAATTTGGCCGCAATAGGAGGTCTTTAGACCGAGCCAACCATACATTTTCCTCCCCCAAATAAATTGGCATATGAAGTTTATTAAAATCCTCAAACTACGAAAATTGGTCGTGTGACATTATTACATGATTATGTGATTGATAAAAAAGTTTTTTTTACAAAGAATGTATAGCAGAAATTTTCACAAGTCATATCCAAAATAAGATAAAACAATGAGTAATAGAAAATTTTGTGTCCTTTTCCATTTTCTGAAGACCCTATCTATTATTATTACTAATACTAAATTACCAACAAAAAATTTATTTATTATTATTTCAGATATGGGTTCATTAACAATGACTTTTAGATAGAATATAATTTTTCGATGGTTACATATGAAGTTACATGTCTTACTTATTATTATTATGTAAATGGATAAAGGAGAAAAAATGTTACCAAGGATGATGTTTTTATGCGGCAATATACCATCAATAAAAGTAAATTATACGTTAATTGTGCATATAATTTTTTTAATTATTAATTTTGTGCAGCAATTATTAATTCTGATTTTTTTTATGAACAATGATTTATCAACGACCCATTCATAAAATGATCATAAAACATCCTCCACTATAATTCGGGTTAAATTAAATATATACTAATCAGCTTTCAAGGTTAAATATGACAATTTATCCCTTTTTATAAATATTTACCATAAAATCCGGAGTACCCGTGACAAATAACAATTATCAATGAAACTATGACGATTAATATAATAAATTATTACTATAAAAAAGGTGATGTCACGGATGCTGCCTTTTCGGTATGCGGTAATTTTGGGTTGATTATGCAAATGATGCAGGGAGAGAATTATTACAACTTTAATTCCTCCAAAAATGTAAAACCAAGCTAATACCCTTTACAAAGTTACGATTTCTCTTTATTAATCCCCAAAATTGATTATATTAGAATGAACAAATTAGATGAATTGAAACTTGAAAATTTTCTTTTTAACAAAAATAAGATGTCATAAAGTACTAGATAATGACTGACTTGTCGAGTTTACATGTGTAACCGAAATCCAATGTGACGAAAATTCTTGTTCTCTATTTCTCTATATAAAAAATCTTGGGTTTTTCAAAAATATCTAAAAAAGGTACAATGATATTTCTTGTCGATCGATGATGGTTAGATTACGTAATGACCAATTTAGTAATATTATTAAAAATTGACAGTCTATATATATATATACATATATAGAGGAAAAAAAAGAAAGAAAAAATTAAGAAGAGAAAAGATCTCGATCACAATAACTCCAATAATGAAACATCTCTCTCAACTTTGAGTTGGATAAGTTGGGTAGATTCTTGGATTGAAAAAGGAAGCCAATGGGAAATATACGTATCTTGACAGGATGTTTTACATAGTCAAAGAAATGGGGTGCAATAGCTTAATTCTCTAATTAAAAAAGGAGGCCTCATGAGACTTTGTACGACGTCAAGTCGCTCCAAACGAATACTATTCTATGGTAAAACGGGGGGGAGTTGTGCATTGTAAGTTTTTTTTTTTTTTATATGTATTACATATTGATTATGTCGTTAAAAAAAAAAAATATATATATATACATATATAGTATATACCATTATAAATAAATTAGTAATTAGTAAATAAATTATAAGAGGTTGCTGTGGGTTTGCATAATTATCAAACAAGTAGATTCCTGAAATTATATATCATAATTACATTCAATTTCTTTTTACAACGAACGTTGTTAATTTTGCGACCCATCATCAATACTCGTAACCTCTAATATTTTATACTCCTTTAAAAATTTTTAATCGAAAATAGAATAATAAAAATCAGGATCTGTCAACGTTCAGTGTTACGTGTGGCAGGATCAATCCTTGAGTTTTATGAACGTTCAGAGTAAATGCATTCTGGAGATTGTTCTTTCTTCCACTAATCGTTCTCTAAGTGGGAGTTACAAAAATATTGTTTTGCCACCATTTATTATTATAATGTCCTTTTTTTACATTTTTAAATAAAGATTTATTATTATGGTATTTAATATATGTGGTTTTTAACACTATTCGAGAATTGTCATAATGATAAACAATAATTGATCCTACATTTTCGAAAAAGGCATGGTTGATTTCTTATTAATATTTAATATTAACAATAATGAATTAATTCTGAATTGTTTGCGTTTTATAGTGGCGTGGAATCATGTTCACATCTTCAAAAAAAAGCATTGTTTGTTATTTAAATATTAATAACAAGGAAAGGAAATTTAATTACAAATTATTATGCATCCATCTTTCTTTACATTTTCAAAAAAAAAACTGGTTGATCCCTTTAACAATAATTTCGAATTGTTTAGTATTTGGTGAGAAGTGTTTCTTACATTTTTGAAAGGCTTGATTTAACTAAATGATATTAAAAAATTGGGTGCGCTTAATGATAAGGATAATGATAAAAATGTTCAATGGGAATGTTCAAAATTTTTTTATAGAAATTTTGTGAAACAATTTTTTTCTAGAATATTGCAAATCTTTTCCAAATTGTTACAAGTATATCGCACTAATCCAATCGATTATTAATTCGGAATTAGAATGCTTTCAGCCAAGGAATAATTCTAATTCCGGTAAACAGTTATCAATATATATTTTTTCTAACATATGGGTTTTTTTATTACCACGAGCATAAGCTGATATTGATAGATAACTGCAAAAAAAAAAATGCAAATAATTTATCATTGACGGATTTTTTTATCATTAATGCAAATGACCAGTTTAATTCAATTCAATAAGAGATTTTGGCGTGAATATCCAATAAAACAATCTTGTTATATACACGTATTTTTTATATAAATAAATACTGTGATGGCAAAAAATTTTTTATTTATTTATAAAACAAAAATCAAAACTAAAATGCCAGAAAAAAATTACGCAAATAACAACAATTACACTAATAAAAACATTCACAGTGATACTAAACACGATGATTTAATAATTAGTAGTAGCAGAAGAAGTAAAGGCAATTATAATAACGATTACAACAACACAGAATTCGATGATTTCAGGTAAAGAATTCATTATTTTCATCATTATTGTCTTGGATCAGAAGTTTAAAAATTTCTTGGTTTTAATTAGTTGAATCTAATCCTAATTAGCAATAAAAAACAAAAAAAAATTGCTGATAATGATCTAAATAATAATAATAATGATGATGATGATGATGACAATGGTGATGGTGATGATGGTGATGATGATAATGATGATGATAATGATAATACTGATGATGACGCGACAGAAGTAAACTCTGAAGAAGAAGTAAGTTTGATTGATCGAAGTTGCGTCATACCTATTATGGCGTACACATAATTTGCAATTCTTTATTTTTATTTTTATTTTATTGATACAATTCCTTGATAATAGATCGATCCAGATGAAATTATTAAGGAAAAAGAAGATTCAGAGAGAACGTTATTACAAAACAAATTTTATTATTTCTTTGAAGAACCAAGATCCATATTGGCCAAATCTTTCTTAATTTTGTCAGTATCCTGTATGGCATTGACAGTTGTTGTAATATGCATTGAATCTTATGCAACAATACCTGACTTTGATGATATATGGTAAATTATGACAAATATTACCGGTAATTATTCATTTAAATTTAATTTAACCTGTTATTAATTGGTGCTAGGTTTCCAATAGATTTAGTGGTCGCGTCTGTATTCACAGTGGATTATCTTGGAAGATTTTATGCGTCATTGCATAAATTTAAATTTATATATAGTAAGTTGTCTTTTACCATTACAATCAATTAATTACTATCATTTTTATTTGTTTAATGTTAATATTAACATTATGACAATGATGACAATGACGACGATGATGATACATAGGACCGTTGAATTTAATTGATTTCTTTTCAATTTTACCATTTTATCTACAATTTATACATATACCAGGTCAAGCTGATGTAAATTTCTATTTTATTTTTAAAGGCGATAACTTTTTCAAAAATTATGAATAGTAACCAAGATGATTTTTTTTTTACAGCTATTTTTAAGAGTTCTCAGAATTGTTAGACTATTGAGAATACTACGAATAATTCATATAACAAGATATTCAATTGGACTTAGCGTAGATATACTTTATTTTTCTTTTCATGTGCAATATAAATACAAATGATAAATATAAAACATAAAATATTTTTATATTTAGATAACGGCTAAAGTATTTAAAAGATCAATACATCAAATACTTATGGTTTCATTGTATTTGTTGATAATTCTGCTTATATCATCAGCAATTATGTATGATGTTGAGCATGGAGAATTCCTCGACCCAGCCACTTTGAAATGGTACCGTTACAATGGAACTGGTATGGAAATAAGTCCATTCCAATCAATCATAGATGCCTTATGGTGGTCGATAACCACATTGACCACGACCGGCTACGGTGATGCAGTACCTGTCACGGCACCAGGCAAATTTGTAGCTGGAGTAACTATGATCTGTGGTATAATGGTGATAGCGTTACTAACATCTATCATTGGATCAAATTTCGTATCAGAATGGGCCCTTCATAAACAAATCCAACACCAACTTCGACTACGAAAAAAAACCGCCGCTGCTCAAAATGAATATCAAGTTAGTAAAACAAAAAGGATACGTATCTTACGTAGTCAAAATGAAATAATGCTAGAAACAATATCAGAAATTCAAGATAAATTATCCGATTTAAATCCACCGTTGTACTACAAGAAATATAAAAACATTCGTGCCAAATATATTGAGGCAACGAAAAGAATATCAGAACTGGAAGCTAAATTAGAAAAATGTAGCCAAACCATTCGTGATTTTGAATCGCCTGATGACGATCAGATTCATCCAATAGAGAATAATAATAACAATGATACTGCCGGTGATGGTTTTGATAGTAATGTATTTGGTCATAATGATCTTATTAATAGTAATGATTCTAGCATAACCTACCATGGCGCAAGATCTTTCAATTGGAAAAAGATGTCATTTCAAAAATCAAGAACTTTAGACAACGATTATAAAAATAACAAATTTTTTCCTTATAAAATTAATAATAATAATAATAAAAATAATAAATTTTTAAATAATTTAAGAATGCCATCACTAAAAATGAAATTTACTAAAAGTTTACCAAATTCAACGTTAAGCTCAAATAATGGAAACATTTTAGCAGATAAACAACTTGTTGGATCTCCTACTGATTTGAGACCTAATTATAATCCCGTGGAAAATGTTGACAATACTAATAATGGTAATGGTAATGGTAATGGTAATGATAATAATAATTGTAATGGCAATGGTAGTGGTAATGGTAATGGTGAAAACGTTGATAATTATGCTGATAATTTTGAATACTTTGTTTCATCAGCATCACCAGCAAGAATAATAAATAATAATAATAATAATTCTGATAATTTTGCTCCGTCAGCATCAGAGTCAGCATCAGTATCAACATCAACAAGAATTAATAATAATAATAATAGTAACAATAATAACAATAATAGTAATAATAATAATAATAATAATAATAATAATAATAATCTCATTCAAAGACATACAGAAATAAAAAGTACTAATTCACCTGAAATAAATACACGTTTTAATATTAATAGTAATAAAACTGGTGGAGGAAAAAGTGGAAGTAAAGACGATGATGATGGTGGTGGTGATAATAATGATGATGATAATAATGTTAGCTACTATTCAGAAAATTTAATGGAAAAAGGTTTAGATCAGAATAAAAATTCAAATAAAGATGATGATTCAAAACAAATTGGAATAATAGTTGATGATGGTGGTGGTGGTGGTGATAATAATGATGTTAATGTTAATGTTAACTACGATTCAGAAAATTTAATGGAAAAAGGTTCAGATCAGAATAAAAATTCAAATGAAGAAGATGATTCAAAACAAATTGAAATAATAGTTAATGATCCAATAACAAAGAGAGAGAAGTGAATTAATTGAAAATTATTTATTAACTTATTATTAAATTAAAAAAAAAAAAAAATTTAAATAAATAAAATTACAATTAGATTTTAATAATACAATTAATCGAACAAATTAAATAATTATTTACAATAACTGATAATATCATTAATCTTCTTTCATGCTTGAATTAATTACTGCAGAAATTTGTTGACAATTGTGACAATTACAATTTTTTTTTAGAAATTTGATTGTGTCATCATCACCACCACTGCTATTACCCTCATTACTATTGGAATTTGAATTATTTGAAATCGAGTCATCAAATTTTGATTTAACTTGATTAACATAACCTTGTTTTGTGATAACACGTGACGACAAAGAAGATGAAGACGACGACGATGATAATGTCTAGTTAATTACGAAATTTTTTTAATTTTTTTGATTTTTTCCAAATAGAAAAAAAATTTTTTATAAATAAATATTCAAACTTACGTTACCGCCGCTGCTACTATTATTCATAGATGATAATAATTTTTCTTTCATATGAGCAACCGAAGATCCACATTTATTAGATATAGGAGTTGTATTGCTTTTACTCACATTATTATCATTATCATTATCATTATAACTTCCTTCCGATGAGAAGGATTGTTGATGCTGATGTTGTTGTTGATAACGAATTAGCCGCCGATGTACAGGCAAATCAATCGGGAACGAGTTTACCAATAATTGAGTTTCATAACTTGGCATTGGTCTTAACGAACTTTCTACATTATTACTATTTTCGACATTTGAAGAATTACCACCATCTTTAACATTATCTTGATTTTGATTCTTCGCGTTAACTTCCTCCATATTAGAACTATCTTCACCGTTTTTATCGGGTTGATTTACTAGAACATTCTTTTTATCACTAACATCCTTATTAATATTATTCCCGGTATCATCACTACCATTCTCGGTATTATCACCATTATCGTTATGATTATTATCATTATCTGGTATAATAATATTGTTATCATGACCATCTTTAATGTTATTTTTTTCATCCCTTAAAAATGGTTGATCGTCATCATGAACACCAATTGAAACTCTTGTCAACAACAAATTAGAATTAATGGTAGCGGTAGATGATGATGAATCATTAGAAGTCAATGACATGCGATGGTAATATGAATTTGTCTCAATGTTATTTTGAGATATTGAAATTCCACCACCGCTATTATTTCTTCTATTACTGAAATCATTTCTATTGTTACTAATATCATTATTAGTATTATTGCTAATATTGTTAGCGGTTGTAACTTCGATTGTATTCTCCTCCTTTTTATTCTCTTTCTTTGTATTCTTCTTCACACCTGCATTTTCGACTTCTATTTTATCTTCGTCATCATTGATTTCAATAGTTTTATATTTACTATTGCCACCAATATCACCATTATTCTTATTGTTATAATTATGATTATTTGATTTTGGTGATATATAATCCATTGCTGCTTTTTGTAGTTCAACCATTGATGCGATCGAAGCCGTCACTTGGTGCGATGGTTTATAAGTTGAGACTCTACGTTTAGTCGGTATATCGATTGGCGCTCGTGAAGAAGATGGCGATGAAATGGGCGGTGAGTTGGGTGATGAAATGAGTAGTGAATTGGGTGGTGAAGTAGATAAAATTGTTGAAATGGTTAGCGACGCCTAATAAAAATATATTATGATGATAATTAGCAAAAAAATTTTTTTGATCATTTCTTCCCCTAAAAAAATTTCACCTGTTGTTGTTGCTCATCATTATCTAAAAACTCAAGAAAATCATTTGAAGTTTGTTTGTTTTGTGACGATGTCAGGCTTGACGAGGAAGATGAGGAATTTTTCGTTAGATTTTGTCCACATTTTTTTATTGAATCGTTAAACGAATTAAAAATTGCTTCCGTATATCGATGAATTACTTGTGTTATAAATGAATGCGCATTTTTTTCCCGTTTTTTAACATTTTCAGAGTATTCGGTACGTGCCCGAGCTATATCTGATCCGATTGACGTCATTGATGAGATATATTTCTAATCGAATAATGAGGAAGGGTGAGTGAGGGAGAGCTGAAAATAATATGCGTGTGTGTGAAAGATATCATTTACCTCGTGAGATTCTGATATTATTTTACTGTTATTATTGCTATTGTTATTATTATTATTTTCTTTTTTTGATTTCTTCTCGTAATCCTTACCAATTTTCTTAACTTGGTTATCCAAATCAAGTATAAATTCATTATAAATTCGTTCTTCTTTCTAATTAATCAATCAATAAATACGTTCGTTATTAAATATGAGTACAACAATGAAAAAAAAACAATAACAACAATAACGGTACATTTACACATACAATAGCTTTTTTGGAATATTTTTCAAAGAATTTTTGAAGTAACTCCATTTCTTTTTGTAAAGATTTAAACTAGAAATTAACAAAAACAAAAATCAAATTTAGCAATTCATATCATCATACATGATCTATGTTATATTTACGAAATTATTTTATTTTTACCAATTTTAATTGAACTTCGGCATTACTTTCATAAAATTGAGCAGTTGCTTGAATACTTGTAACTATGATGATGATGATTATGATGATGATTATGATGATGATGATGATGAAAAAATAGTAATCAAATTAAAAATAAATTCGGTAATTTCCACCTCCAAAGAAAATGAAAAATAAAAAATTTACCATGATTAATATCCATTCCTTTACAACCACCAGCATAACATTTTAAAGATTTATTAATATCTTTAGAGGTTTTACCAAGTTTATTTATTAAATCATGATAATCATTAAATGATGAAATCAAACGTTCTAAATTTTCAATTGATTTTTTTATATCATCAACTGGTGCTGATGACGACGACAATGTTCTTTTTTTATTATCATCGCCAATGTTACTACCAAGAATGCTAGAAATGTTATTGTTGTTGTTTTCGCTGCTAAAGTTGGTGGTTTCTGGAAAATAACTTGCTAATATCGACGAAGATATATTTGGTGAAGACATTGGTGAAGTACTTATTACAGTTGTAGTTGTAAAGGTGGTGGCAGAGGATTTTGGCGGGGAACCAAAAAATGCAAAAAATTTTTTCTTTTGTGGTGAAAGCATTTTAGAGAAAATTTAAAATAAATGCCTTTTATGATTGACTATGATTATTATACTTATAATTATTATTATTATTATACATTATATTAAAGAAACGTATTAGAATATAATCAAGCGATCAATGTGATCAATGTTTAAAAACTAGACTTTAAATTATTTTTGAAAAAGCCAAATTTCAAAAATTAATTTATTAAAAAAATTGAATCCTCACATTAATTTTTTTAAAAAAAAAGGAGTTTAAAGTTTAAAGGGGTTCATTACACCAGTTTAAATTTTTATTCCCAACTTGTATCTGATTGTCAACCAAATTTTTTTTTTTTTTTTGTATTTTCGTTTCTCATTATTCAATATCCCCATAAGATAGTTGGAGTAAAGTGGTAGATTAGGTAATACTGGGTTGTTTTTTTTTCTCTCTGTTACCAAACTTTCAATATTTCTCATTTCATTAGAGTCATTAGGAGCATCATAAATCATAATTAGTAATCTTGCTCAAAGCAATCAAATACAAAAGAATTGTACAAGGCTGTGTGCCCGGTATTCTACTGAAATAAAAAGGCAAAATTTGACTTTGAGGGCCAGATTATTTAACAGCATACATTAAAAATTTTCTTAAAGCAGGTACATATGATGAAGAAGTTATATCTCAAATTTGGTGGTGGTTGCTAAACAACAAGGGTATCAAATGGGGATAAAAGTCATTCGATTATAAAATTTACTGGTAGTTTAAAAAAAATTAAATTGGACGTGTCTCAATTCGTGCAAAAATTAAAATCATTAATTCAATTTATCATTATTATAGTTAAAATATTTTTGATTAATATTTTGTCGAAGTCGTCATGTGATTTATATCATTTTGCAGAAGTAATAACCCTCAATATAATACGCACTGTAGAAAAGGCAGTAAAGTAATGTGATTTTATCATTGAAACATCAATTTAGAATAATAATAATCAATACCGTGGGACTGACACATCCAGTAAGAATTGCCATTCCAAATAAAGGATATTTAGCATCAACTAATTTTTGTAAGTTAACTGCTTGGTTACAATATTTTGAAGGTCTTTTTTTGAAGATTAAATCATTAAATTAAATATCTGTTGATTAATTAATTATGTAATTGATTTATTTGTTTAATAATGTTATATGGTTTTTTTAATCTATTGTGATTATGATTATGTAATGATAAATTATTAGTTATAAAAATAACATTTTTTTCTCACTAAAAAAAATATAATTGTAACAATAATAAAATTGAAATTAGAAATGGATCAATATAGAGGTCATAATTATCAAGAACGACAACCACTAGAACAAAGAGAAAAGGAACAGCAAGAACAAGAAGAAGGAGAAGGAGAAGAATATGGAGAACAACAAAAAAAAGTAGAATCAGAAATAATAGAAACTTATAAACATGGAAAAGAAGCTATTTCAGGAGCATCAGGATTAGCAACAGGCGTAATTGCTTCAACAAGCTCTAAAATTATTGAAACTACTGAAGACACCATTAGTGAAACTAAAGGAGTTATTGGTTATGCAGCACAAAAAGGCAAAGAGGTTGCTACACATCCTATATATTATATGCAAAAATCAACATCTTTCTTTTGGGAAAAATTTCCACCTTTGAGTTGGTTTACTTATGGAGTGATAGCATTAAATGCCATACCTTTAACAATCTTATTGATTTTTCTTTTTATCACAACAAGTATTGTTGTGTTAGTTACTGGCACTGGAATCTTTTTGGCTGAAGGATTTTTCATTGGTGTTGGATCATTTTTCTTGATTCCTGTATTCATTATAATGATTTTTGCATCATTTGTTACTGCTTTTTTCACTATTTTTGGCTGGACTTTTTACAAAGTTGTTAGATATATATTACACACTTTTGACTTAATTGTAGATGATGATCCAGCAACATTATCTTTTGATGCTCAACAGATCCTTTCTAAAACTAGTGAAGTTCTCACAGGCGGCAAAGAAAAAAATGGCAGAGAAGATGATTTGTTGGTTAAGGAGAAATAATTAATCATGATAGAGGCAGAGTTAGTGAAGAAATGAGTTGTGAATATTCTTTTAAAATTTACAATAATTAATCATGCTATTATTTTATTTACACAATGTGATATATTAAATACAATTAGTTATAAAAAAACAATAAAAATAAATTGCTAATCTAAAATCTAATTCATCATCATCATTAACTTTGATTTTATTTCAAAACTTGTATATATATAATTAACTGATTAATCAAAAATAAAAACTTGTGAGTAATCCCATACTGCAAAATTTTCTAATAATAATTTGATTCTTGCTGCTGTTGATGATATTTATCATTAATAATATACAAATTCTACCACTAAACCATATTCATTATTATTAATGTTATCAAACATTGGATTATTTATGAACCAGTATTACTCTTTATAACTAACTATTATATACCTTTTCTAGAATCAAGTCATTGAGTTTTTAAATCATGTGCATTTAAAACTATCAAACTAATGTTAGATGAATCAACATTTGTGGTATTAGCACACCAAAGCTCCACTATTGTTGCTTTTTACCAAAGTACTTTGTTTTAAATGAAAATAAAAATAAAATAAAAAGTTTATTTAAAAATAAATATTTTCGATTTTAATTGAATCATTTATTTGTTCTCTCTGCCTTTTCAAACGATGACTTGTCTATCCAATTGCCAATTTTCAATAAGTTGGTTGTATGTAATGTCTACTTGTTTATGTGTATCAAGCAAATTTTAATTAGTTATTCACGGTTTTGTCTCTTCACAATACTGATTAAAATATAAAATATAACTATTAAAACTGCCACTATTGAATCTATCTTTATCAAGTTCTGATTCTGACTTTGAACCTTTTTTAAAATGCAAAAAATTTTAATTGGTAAAAAATAAAAAGAAATAACTTGCAGGATCATTTAAAAATAATGTAGAAAAAAAAACTGAAATCAAATTCAGCTTATAAATAAATAATGCTTCCCTCTTCCCTCCTCCTCTTCCAAATGAAGGTGGCTAGATTTGTCAAATGAATTAAAACTATTGATAGAATCAATCCAAAATGATTATAAAAGTTTCAAGAGGAAATTTATTATTAACATATATATATATATTCTCATTTCATTTAATTCTTTTTATTCAATTTTGCATTTTCTCTCAAGACCGGATACTTGAGAAACCAAAATTTAACAATCCAAGGAATTCCATGAGACCTTGATGCTGGATTCCCATTTACATCAAAATATCATAGTAGAAAAGGTTGGTCCTGGGATAATTCAATACTGCACACATCGAAACTTTTTTAGGTGCCATCTAAGAGTCTAAACTATAAAAATTTACAGTTCTAACACCTAGCAAATTTCAGGTATCACCCAGAATATATATTCAGTTGTAATTTTTTACATTCTTTTTATATATATGGGAGTCTCAAGCAAAAATGAGTCAATTTTGAAAATCACGATTTTAAGAAAAACCCCCTTAAAGTTGCAGATCTTTTTAAGTTCAATATTATGAAACAGTTTTCTTGACATACGTGGGGCATTTGGAAAGTTTTGTCACTGGTCCTGTAACTTTATAATTTTGAGTATAATTAATTTAAAATTTTTTTTAAATACATCCGGAAAATATAAAAAAATTTTACATGTGTCAATTGTAAGTTTAATAATAAAAAAGTGTAAAACTTACATCGGCACTGTAAGATTTACACAATATTATGTCAGCATCGTAAGATTTATGCAAGTTTATGCTAAATTAATTTCCTGATGTAAAAGACACTCTATTCCTTTTTCAAATAAAAAATAGATTGGTTTTTTTATTTACTAATTACTGAGATATTGAATTTTAAAGTTCATTAGTAAAAACAACTGGAAAATTTTTTGTAAAACCATGTAATTTTATGATTTTAAACGTAATGAGTTTGAAAATATTTTTATAAAAATTAGTCATTCTTATCTTTCAAATAAAAAAAAGTTTGCCCTTTTTTATTGGCTAGTTATTGAGATATAAATTTTAAAAATTACATAGACTGGATTTGTATTTCAGTCAACATATATACAATTTCCAAAAGCTTATTCCATTTCCAAAAACTTATACCATTCCTTCAAAATAATTCCCATTGGCATCTATACAACATTTCAGCCTTCTTTGCCACTCCTGGAAAGATTTGTGATATTCCTCTTTTGGGATATTATCAGCAATTGACTGGATAGCACATGCAAGATTTTCCACCTTATCAAACTTTCTTCCACCCAATTCTTTTTTTATTTTAGGAAATAGAAAAAAGTCACATGGTGCTAGATCTGGACTGTAGGGTGGGTGAGGCAGTACAGTTACTTTGTTTTCCTCCAAAAATTCTGCTACAATTTTTGCCTTGTGTGATGATGCATTGTCATGATGCAACATCAAAGTTTTTGCAGTTTTTTTGTTTGTCATTACCTTCCAATTTGAAAATACATCTGGCAAAATGATATTACTATAGTATTTAGCATTAACTG